TTCATCAATATTCAAAAGCGAAATAAAACGAAAATAGCCATTTTATTGTGAAAATTCTTACCTCGATGCTTCGCACTACCCACAAACTTATGGCCATCAAAAGTCCTATTCCACTTTTATTGATAGAAAATAATTTCTCAAATATTATCAGAACATATCCAATTCCAAACAACAATGTCATTACAATATTTTGCATCATGATGTTCTAGATGGTCTATACAGATAGTTAATGAGTTATTGATGCATTTGGTTTATAGGAAATTTTATATATATTATTTACATTTAGCAAAGAAAATGTTATGAAAGAGAAAATTGATTAATCTAGCTAAAAATATGATATGTCATTTTTAGCTAATTTTATCTCTTAATATTTAAATTTATTGAATCAAAGTAGATTAAATATCCAGAAATATATATTATAAATGATCTTTGTACATTTTAGAAATAATGCAAAAAACAAATCAATAAATTTCTTCTCATCACATATTTATACTTTTCTCAAAATTAATGTAATATATTTTCAAATGTCCAAAAAAGGATTTACAAAAAAGTTTTCTATTTCATAATTTTAAACTATTTGTATTACTTTATTTTTTAACGTCTTAACATATTTTTTTAATATAAATAATTTTAATGAATATTTGATCAGTATTTTTCATTTTTTTTAAAAACATCTTAAATTGTGATTAAAGTCTTTACATAAAAAACTTGATCAAAACTGAATCAAAATTAGGTTTTTCGGTTTAAATCTAACCGAAACAAAGTGATTCGGTTAGGCAACGGTTCTTAACGAATTAAATAGAAGGCGTGAGTATTGCCCTTTTGGTCGCTAAAACAAAAATAAATTGAGAATCTTGAAAAGAAAAGAAAAAGATCGAATCTTTAACCGCAATTATCTCTACCTCTCTTCTAAACGCAGCTTGAAACTGAAGCAGAAAGAGAGCAAAAATGTCAGAGTTTAAGCCATTAAACGAGAAATCTCTTGTAGACTACATAAAGGCAACACCTTCTCTCTCTTCAAGGATCGGAGACGAGTACGAGGATTTGGTTATCAAAGAAGTCGGAGATGGTAATCTCAACTTCGTTTTCATCGTTCTCGGATCTACTGGTTCACTTGTCATCAAACAGGTTCGATAAAGCTTTAAACTTTCGTTTCTCTTTCCTTCAGTGAAACCATTCGGATTACGAATTAGGGTTTATCTTTTTGTAAATCGAATCTCTTTCAAGCTTTTTAGTGATGGGTATATGAGCTCAAAGCATGTAAATTGGTATCTAGATTCAGGGTTAAGTTGATCTAAGAGAATATTGTTGTTAAACTTCCACGGAAATGAACAAAGCTTTGATTTTTTCAAGCTTTTGTCTCCATATGTATTATATAGGCACTTCCTTATATTCGATGTATTGGGGAATCATGGCCAATGACGAAAGAAAGAGCTTATTTTGAAGCAACAACTTTGAGAAAGCATGGAAGTTTATCGCCGGATCATGTTCCTGAAGTCTATCATTTTGATCGAACAATGGCTTTGATTGGAATGAGATACCTTGAGCCTCCTCATATCATTCTTCGTAAAGGACTTGTCGCTGGAATCGAGTATCCATCACTTGCAGAACATATGTCGGATTACATGGCGAAAACCCTCTTCTTCACTTCGCTCCTCTATCACGATACCACCGAGCACAGAAGAGCAGGTACTATAATATTCCTGTATTGCTGAGTTAGAGCTAGAGATGGATTCTCGAATAACTTGATTTTGTTGTATGTGTAGTAACCGAGTTTTGTGGTAATGTGGAGTTATGCCGGTTAACGGAGCAAGTTGTGTTTTCGGACCCATATAGAGTTTCCACATTTAATCGTTGGACTTCACCTTATCTTGATGATGATGCTAAGGCTGTGCGTGAAGATAGTTTCTTGAAGCTCGAAATCGCAGAGCTAAAATCGATGTATGTGTTTGCCGGATTCCCTGGGATTTCTTTTACAACTTGCTACTATTTCTAAACCACCTTTGTGTATTTAGGTTCTGTGAAAGAGCTCAAGCTCTGATACATGGTGATCTTCACACTGGTTCTGTCATGGTTACCCAAGATTCAACACAAGTTATAGATCCTGAGTTTTCATTTTATGGACCGATGGGTTTTGACATTGGAGCTTTTCTTGGTAATTTGATATTGGCTTTCTTTGCACAAGATGGGCATACTACTCAGGGAAATGATCGAAAAGTAAGCAATATATTCAGAATTCTCATTTGCGGTTTTTACTTTCTTCTCATCATCTACGTGGTTCCAAATACATCGGTTTAAACCAATATAACTCTACAATGCAGGAATACAAGCAGTGGATTTTGAGAACCATTGAGCAAACTTGGAATTTGTTTCACAAAAGGTTCATTGCGCTATGGGATCAAAACAAAGATGGACCTGGCGAAGCATACCTTGCGGATATCTATAACAATGCTGAGGTTTTGCAGCTTGTTCAAGAAAACTACATAAAGGATTTGTTGCATGACTCGCTCGGATTCGGCGCTGCAAAGATGATCAGGTGAGAGAATGTAGACCATGAGATTTCTTTGTCGATCATATAAACTCGGAAACCTTGTTGACAGTTTTTTGGTTTTCATATGACAGGAGAATTGTGGGTGTGGCACATGTTGAGGACTTTGAATCGATTGAAGAAGATAAGCGAAGAGCGATTTGTGAGAGAAATGCGCTCGAGTTTGGGAAGAAGCTTCTTAAGGAAAGGAGAAATTTTAAGTGTATTGGTGAAGTTGTTTCAGCAATTCAACAACAAAGCTAAGACCTTTTATTATGTTCTTCTGCTAAAGTTCTTGTGTCTTATATCTTGGATTTAATTGCCAAGAAAAACATCAATATGTAATAATAAAATGGAGTTTTTAACATTTAAAATTCTATATTAAATAGCAATCCTAATAAAACGAATAATTTCGGAAATATATTAAAAAAACCGTTGGTGGTTATTTCTAAAAGTTGTGTTTTTCGATATAATATTTTTGTCAAAAATTGTGTTTTTTATTATATATATTTGTCAAGAGTTAGTGTATTTTTGAAATAACCGCTTTTTGATTATTTTTAAGGATTGTGTTTTCTCGAAAAAACACTGTTTGGCCTATATATATGTTTTAACTTTTTTTTTTGTCGAACATGTTGTTAATCATGGCTATTGGTTCTATAGTTCATTTAACGCATAAGAAAGATAAAAAACGCTATTTTATTATTTTCAAATTATTTAAAAGTTATGTTATGGTTTTACTAGTGGATGGACGAATTGGTCTATATTTTTGAGACGTCACAAATATAGTTACAGAAACTTGTCACATAGGAGAGTTTGTTTTTGAACATAATCTTTTATTGATATGATAACTTTAACAAGCTTACAAATATATCATTCTGACTTATCGATCATTTCATGTTTCTCATTCCAATAGTCTTCATCCTGCAA